ATTCAAGGCCTCATTACAATTCCTAATAAACTAGACACTGTGGGCTCTACTTCAGGGATACAATCATCAACATCCACTCCTTCTGTTCCTCATTCTGACACAGCAGCAATCATTCACTCCCAACCACCTGAACTAATCCCTTCAAACATCGCAGATCAAGATGGATTCAGGTTAATGGAGATTGAATTACCAACAGCTAAAAACCAGGAACAAAGGAAAAAACTATCTAAGGAGATGGTCTTAGCAAAAATCCCTAAATGGAGAAGATCCTCTTCAAAGGAAGGAAGGCTCCAGAGGCAAGGAGAGCTTGAGATAGTTTCAGCTCCTAGCTCAAGCAATAAAAGAAACAGAGCAGACCAGGGGAAGAATGTGATAGATGAAGAAGAGGACCAACAGATGGGGAAGGAACCAGGCAAGAAAATAAAAGTTGTCTTAGAGAAGGTGGGGGATGCCAGCCTCGAGTGGCACCCAAGTTCCCAATGTTAGCTGCGGTGTGGAATTGTCGAGGGCTGGGTGGGCCCTCTACAATTTCCCAAATCAAAGAGTCTTTTAGGACTCACCACCCAAAGTTCTTCTTCTTATCTGAAACTAAAAATTCTTTTGCTTTTGTCAAGGCTGTCTGCAAGAAACTTGGTTTTGAAGATAGAAATGCCATAGTTGAAGCAAGGGGGCTTAGTGGGGGTCTTCTTCTTATGTGGCAACAGGATGTGGAGATTAAGCAGTTGATTACTAAGGATTTCTACATTGCAGTGAATTACTCTTTGAAGGAAAGGGAACAGGGATGGGGCATCTTTGTATATATGAGTACTGACAGAAACACTAGAGAGATTCAATGGAGTGAGCTTGAAGATGACAAACTCTCTTGGGGTGATATCTGGTTCTTAGTTGGGGACTGGAATGCTATCTGCACTATGGAGGAAAAGAAAGGGGGCAGAGCCAGGCAAGCTAGATCCTTTGATAGCTTCAACAACTTCATAATGAATATGGATATGGAGGAGATCAAAATGGATGGGTATCAGTTCACCTGGGGCAACAACAGGGATGCTGAAGGCTATGTAGAAGAAAAGCTGGATAGGGCTTTTGCTTCTTTTGAGTGGCATAACTCCCATCCAAATGCTAGCACTCTGAATATTGCCAGAACAGCCTCAGATCACTCCCTCATAGTTCTCAATGCAGGGATTCCTTATAATAGACTGAAAAGAAGATTTCTATTTGATAAAAGGTGGCTTACCATGGAAGGTATGGAATCAGTTGTCCAAGAGGCTTGGAATACTCCTCAGCAAGGTACTCCCTTCTACAGATTTAAGGAGAAGGTGAAATGCACCAGAATTGCTATTCTGAGATGGAGCTCCAAATTCAAAACTCACAATCAAGCCAAGATTGCCAACCTCTCCATTAAACTGGAAAACTTGAGAAGAGAAGGTAAATATGAACAGTGGGAAGAATGGAAAGCTACTAGAGATGAGCTGGATAATGCTTATGCTTTTGAAGAAAGATTTTGGGCCCAGAAAGCAAGGACTCAGTGGATCAAGGAAGGAGATACCAATTCAAAATTTTTTCATGCCTACACTATCCAAAGAAGAAGGCAAAATGCAATCTCTCGACTGGTATCTGAAAGGGGCAGAGTTTTTTGCACCAAGGAAGAAATTGAAGAGCACATCACCAATAACTACTCAGCCCTTTTTACCTCTGAAGGATCATGGGGAGGTGATTCTCTACTTCCTCTAATCCCTACATCTATCACTGAGGATATGAATCAGCAGCTTCTGATGCCCATTGATGCTGAGGAAATCAAGAGCTCTCTATTTAGTCTCAACCCAGACAAATCTCTAGGTGAGGATGGGATGACTGCTAGATTCTACCAGCATTATTGGGGGATTATTGCAGCTGATTTGATTGAGGCCATTCAGAGTTTCTTTGATTCAGGTATGCTCTTGCAGTACTGGAACCACACACTAATTACACTTGTCCCTAAGTGTCAATCTCCCTCATCCTTGAACCAGTTTAGGCCTATCTCCTTGTGCAGTGTGGTTTATAAGATACTTGCTAAAATTCTGGCTATTAGACTTAAAGCTTGTCTCAGTAATTGCATCAGTGATAGCCAGGCTGCTTTCATCAAAGACAGACAATTGCTAGATAATGTTATTCTGGCCCAAGAAGTTTTTCATTTCCTAAATAGGCATAGAACTGGTAGGAACTGCTTTATGGCCCTGAAGCTAGACCTTATGAAAGCATTTGATAGAGTGGAATGGGTTTGTATTGAGAAAATCATGATTAAAATGGGGTTCAGCATTAATTTTGTGAAGCTTCTGATGGTTTGTGTATCTTCTACTTCTCTGTCTTTCTGCATTAATGGAGCCTTAAGTGGAATTATCTATCCTACAAGAGGAATTAGGCAGGGGGATCCACTATCCCCCTACCTATTTATCATTGTAACTGAGCTCCTCTCAGCTCTTATCTCTGACTCTCTCTCAAGAAACACACTCAGTGGCTTGAAGCTTTCAAGGAATGGGCCTACTTTATCACATCTTTTATTTGCAGATGATGCACTCTTTTTTTGCAAAGCAGAAACCAGTCAAGCATTGGAACTTATGACTCTTCTGGAAAGATACAGATTATTCACAGTCCAAAGAGTTAACCTTCAGAAATCATCTGCTTTCTTCAGTAAGAACACTCATCCACATGTTCAGAATCAGATCTCTGCTGCTCTGCAAGGCATCCAAATCCATTCCTCAACAAGATATCTTGGCCTTCCACTGGGGATAGGTAAATCCAAGGCTGAAGTTTTTAACTATGTCATTGAGTCTGTGAAATCCAAACTTTGCAGTTGGAAGAATAAGATGATATCTAATGCTGGCAAAGAAGTTCTAATTAAAGTTGTGCTTAATGCTCTACTGGTTTTCACAATATCTTGCTTTAGACTTCCTGTCTCTGTTTGTAAAACTATTGCAAGCATTTCAGCTCAGTATTGGTGGTGCCACAGTGACACCCAAGAGAAGGGAATACACTGGAAAGCTTGGCAGTTTCTCACAATCCCTAAGGCTGATGGTGGCTTTGGATTCAAGGATATCAGTCTATTCAACCAAGCTTTGTTATGTAAACAGCTGTGGAGAGTTGTGTCCCACATTAGCTGCTGATCAGTAAGGTCCTTAAAGACAGATATTTTCCAGATTGCTCCATCTTTGAAGCAACCAAGACTCAGAATGGTTCCTGGATTTGGCATACTTGGCTGGAGTGTCTTCCCACTTTTGCCCAAGGCTTCAAAACTGAAATCAGAAATGGCTTTGATACAAGAATTGCTGATTGGAATTGGATCCCTTCCAAACCTTTGTCCTATCCAAAGTTGCTGCCAATAGCACAAGGCCATATCACATGGGTTAAAGAGCTGATGATGGATAATGGTAGATCTTGGAATACCTGGCTGGTACAACAATTATTCTCCCCTGAAGATAGCCAGGCTATACTGAGAATCAACACATTAAACTCAGCCAGGAAAGATAGAGTCTACTGGTGCTTGGAAAAGAAAGGTAACTTCACTGTCTCCTCTACATATTCTCTACTGATTAACCATAAAGTTACTAGGATGGATATCCCTTCCAGCAGTCACAATGCAAATGAAATAAGGCAGGCAAGACTTAGAGGTTGGCAGCTCAAAGTCAAGGGCACTCTTAAACACTTTCTTCGGAGATGCATCACAGATACTCTTCCTGTGAATACAAATCTGAGGAAGAAGGGGCTGGATATTGATATTATGTGCCAATGCTGTGGGGAATTGCCAGAAACAGTGGAACACTTGCTATTTAATTGTCAAAGAGCTCAGATGATGTGGAATATGGGACCTGTCAGCTGGGATGGGGTGACATCTTTGGGATGCAAATTCAAAACTTGGTGATGGCAGCTTTGTGAAACAAACAAGACAACCATAGCTGAGGACAGAATCCAGCTCACTACATATCACCTATGGTGGCTATGGAGGTCAAGAAACTTGTGGTTATTTGAGAAGAAGCTCATGCCTATTCCAGTGGTGATCAAACGAGCACACAAGGAATGGCTGGAATTTAGGGCTTTGTGATGGGTTGGATGCTGTGGTGTGGTTTTGCTTCTATTGGTGTACTTTTGTTTGTTCAGTGTTGTTTAGTTTGGTTTTTTTTGGTTGTTGGTTTTGGTTTGCTTTGGTCCATTTGGTTCTAGTTGAAAGTTGGTCTGGTAGCTAGGCTTTGGAGCAGTGGCTTGTCGGTCCTTCTTTCGGGTTATTTTTAGTTTGAGTTATCTAGGCCACTTCATAGCGTGTCCTCTCATTTTTATTCTCTTGTTTGAGTCGGATATTGGCTAGCTTAGCCCCATTGTATATTCGGATGTTGTTCACTATAGATGGTGAACTCCAAAGTAGGCTCGGGTATCGAAAGGACTGGTGCGGTAGTAAGTCCCCTCTTCAGCTCCTGGAAACTACTCTCGCACTCCGGACTCCATACAAACCTCACGGACTTCTTCGTAAGGTTGGTTAGCGGCTGAGCTATTTTCGAGAAGCCCTCGATGAACCTCCTGTATTATCCTGCTAACCCCAGGAAACTACGAATGTCGCTAGCATTTCTTGGCGTATCCCACTTGCTCACCACCTCGATCTTGCTGGGATCCACCTCAATGCCTCTAGCTGTCACAATGTGGCCAAGGAATGCCACACGATCCAGCCAGAATTCACACTTCGAAAACCTAGCATGGAGTGAAGTGCTAAGTTCTTGTTTGCTGCATTGTTTTAAGTTGTTTCTTAATTTTGGTTGATTTAATTCATAGAATGAGCAAACAAATAAAAAATATATATAATTTCATTTAAATAATAAACTTTATTTTTCATATAATAAACATAGCAGCCCTTAAAAATGTTAATGGGAGCTAGACATGATGTTATTGGGAACATTTAAAACTTAAGACAAACTCATAACATAGCCATTCAACTACTCTATTTCTAAAAAACTTCAACATAAATCATGTAGTGCTGCTCATATTTCTTCAGCTTTAATTTTTCTCCCCATTGGCACTTCTGAGCTGCTTGAGGCATCTTTAAACAACACTTTTTGCACTCTCTTTTTTATCTTTTCTTTGCAGCCCGAAACAGTCTTGTTTGGACTGTTCAGTTCACCATCTGAATCATACATAATTATAAAATAGAAACTGAATTTTCATAAAATTAATAAAATAAATATTGGACATAATAATTAATAGTATAAAAAGTAATTAACAGCATAGCAGTCATCTTAAGATAAATAGTCATCATATAAAAAATTTATTTGATTAAGATATATAATACATTATATTTTATAGAAAATTTATTTGAATATTATGTATAAAAAAATAAAATTCAAAACCTGTGAAGGGTTTGCCAAGACTCCAAACCGATTAACCAAAATAGGATCAACGGTTATGCGAGCAACCGTAAATGGACCATTATATGATCCAAATTGATCCTTTTTATTTGATACTTTAAATATGAGTGCTTTATAAGTCAATAACTCAATGTCAAGTGGCTAATCAGATCCATCATTGTGCTGCAGAACAAAGTATACAATAAGAACAATAAAAATCTAATTTAAGAATACTTGTATTAATAAAAAAAAAAATTACCAAATAGCTTGTTGGAATCAATTGTTTGGGGGTCGGATAGCTCGTTGAAATTTTTGAAGTTAAACATAAACCTCGGGTAGTTGTCCTCAACAATCTCTTACATGTTTGTCTCTTTACCGAAAACAAACTTATGACTTGATTCGGTTAATTTGAAAGCCTTTTCGTCCAGCTCAAGGTTCCAATCTGTAATCCCGTACACACGTCCTTCGAGAAAGTTAAACTCCTTGAACTTTTGTGCCAAGAACCGGGTGTCGAGCCATGTATTCGCTGCCCCTAAAAAAATTAAGATTATTAGAATAATTTCAAACTGTTTTATATAAATGAAATGAATAAAATAACAAATTAATAAAATTTAAACACCTTAACATCGTGAAATATGAACTCCAGCTCTCTCATGTTCTCTTTGTTTTACTTAAGTATGTCAAATTATCAAATTGGGGACTCATGGTGATTGTTGAAAAAAAAAATTGGAGGATATGAGAATTGTTTGGCTTGGGTTACTTTAGCTAGAGTGAATGATTGTTTTTGAATAATTATTTGAGTATTTATAAGGTTTTGGAAAAAAGGCATTCAATATAAGAAAATGTTGATTGGAAGAATATTGAAAGTATATATTTCCAGATAATAATTTCTACTTTGACTACCATGGAGAATTGTAATTTGTTTTTCTGTCATTCGGTCATATGTGTTATTTAATATTAATAGGTATATATAAAATGTGCAATAATCATGGGATATCAAAGATTGAAAAATAAAGTCTAGATAATGCTTTATTCTTTGAGTGCCACAAAGAATTGTTCCTTGTTTGGCTGTTAATTCCAGATTATGTGCCACGGTTACTATTGAATTTTTAGAGTTATAAAATATGCAAAAAATCATGGGATATTGAAGCTTGGTATTTATCTTAAATATTATCCTTTTTTTTAACTGTATTTTCTCGCCTCATTTGCACATTTGGAACTGTGAAGGGTTCCTGGTTTTGCTAAGAAGCCAACAGGTGGCTCCATAGTGGAGTCAACCTTCTATATACAATAAATAAACCTACCATATTCCTTGATTACTTAAATAATATTAATATAATTTTATTAATAGGGTAAGTTTATTTGTTGTATATAGAAGGTTGGCTCCACTATGGAGTCAACTGTTGGCTTCATAGCAAAATCGGGGTTCCTAATTATAAGTAATTCATTTGGTGGTATATTATATGTTGATCTTTAATTTTCTTTTTTCGCAGGACTTATTTACACTTTTAAGGAAAAGGAGCTTGTGAAATTCTTTTTTCAATTTTTAATTTGTTATTATGATGTGTTGTATTTTCTTTATTTATTCACTCTTTGTTCTTCATTAATATTTATTAATTTATTGTATATAAAAAAATAAATACATTAAATAAAAAGGTTTTGAGAGTAAAAAAGGACTATTGATAATTCTGAACATTTATTAATTTGTTTAAAAAAATCTGGGAAAGTATTTAATAACTTGTAACGTCTAGATCATTGAAAAGTCAATGGCATATGTGGCCAATTTTAGCACACTTAACTATATGCAAACCTGATATATTTGTGTAATAAGAAAATATGAAAATTACGTGTAATGTATTTAGGCGGAAAATGACAACTAAGTATAATTTTAATAGGTTTTATTAAGTGCGAACAACCAGTAATTATATAGACTAGTTTTTACCCGTACATTTGCACAGAAAGCTATGCGATAGAGGAAAAAATAAATTAAATTATAAACAATAGTAAAAATCATAACATAATCACTGAAAAAAAGCCCAAGAAAAAAAATCTATATATTATTAAACACTTCTTTATATACAACGTTCGTGGTTTTTTAATCGTCAGAATCTCCATCAGCACAAACCAAAATCTTCAAACCCCTCTGACTCGTTACTCTAGAAAGCACCACGTACAATTGCCCATGACTAAATACAGGGCTCTTCAATTTAGGTCAATTTTGTTTCACATTTTTTTTTACTATACATTGTATTTGTATTAAACTATTTGGGGTAATGTATTTATAAAATATGAGCTCACATTTTTAAAGAACATCAAAATTGGGTCATTCATAAAAATTCTTTCTTGGGCCAGTATAAAATACATTGGGCCGGTATTTAAATAAGTCTGCTATCTATTTTAAGTTTTTAACAATTCATTGGGCCATTATTTATAAGAACGATGCTAAAGTCATTGTATAAGGGCAAAATATTGATTTCACAATTCATGCATAATCTAAGGCTAACTCGTGTCCTTCCAGCTGGCTATATCATTTATATACATTTAACAGTAAAGACGCCTGATTTCGCCATTTCTCTCGCCTCTCTCAATTTTCTGTCGCCGATTCTCTCTCTCATTTATTCTCTCTACTGAAATTGTTCGACCATCTTTTGCCGAGAATTTTTCCAAAAACAATGTTTCACCAGCGATTCAACTCTGTTTTGCAAGCTGATACTGGAAAAATTACCTGAGATTTAGTTTTTTCGAATCAAAAGGGAGACGACTGTTTGTCCCATTTTTGTTGCGTTTCTCGTTGTCTTTTTGTCTTTATTTTTCCCCATTTTAGGTCATTTAGATGAGTTTTTTAGTTCATTTTATATTTTATTTAACGTTTGCTCTCTTCTTGGTTTTTCTTGTGTTTTTCGTTCGTTTTTTGTTTTTTTTTTGTCGTCGTTGATGCGTAGGTTGGAAGTCTCGGGAGAGCAGGAGTTCGGAAAAATACTAGCTAGGCAAGCCTAATCAAATAGAGGAGTTCGTTGGGAACACACAAAAAAAACGGAATCGAATTCCGAGTCCAAACGAGTATAAACAAGCCCGAAAAGTGAAGAGGTGAACAAAAACCAATCGGCGCCCAATTTTAGTCGCCGCAGCGGCGGAGGTGAGGTCGCGGCCGTGAAGGTCCCAAAAGCCCCTTTTCTGGCCTGTGGATGTTGCAGCCTCGGGGATGGTCGCGGCCGCGGGTTTTCCTTCACCGCGGCCGCGGAGGGGTGGTCGCGGTCGCGGAGGTCGCGACGTGCAGAAATTTAAGTTCAATTTTTAGATCAGATTTTGGTGGGATCTTCCTTCTAGGTTTTGATAACTCGTACTTTTTCACTCCAGAACTCATTTTATCTCTTAGTTTTGATTGGGATTCAATCTTGGATTGTGAAAACACCAAGATTCGACTTGTGGATTTGGATTGTTCGTTGTTTTTCGACATTGGATTCATATTTAATCGTAAGCTTTCTATTTCATTTTATCTGTGATGAATGTTATGGCTTTGTTTGATATGAATGTTTGTGTTGAGATCACTATGAGTAGCTAAATTCTCTAGCTAGGGTTAGGGGATTGTCGTTCCGGTTCGATCTCGTTTACATGCTTGATAATTACTCAATCTTTTCGAGTTGTGCTTAACCTAGGGTTTTAGATGCTTGATCACCATCTCAATCTAATTAATCGATTTTAAAACCGATAGGGGAGAAATTGATCGACCTAGGCTCGTTTAGAATAGGCTTGTTTGGTGATGTATTGCCTATGCGCTGATTGGCTCGATAATTGCTCGTTTAGCTTATTCTCTTGTTTCGTGAGATATTGAGAATAAATCTCTAGATGAGTTAGTTTTTCGAGTCCTTTGATCGCGTAATTGATTGCCGTTAAATGTTTTGAGAACTGGAAACGATTATCCCCGATACCCTAGCCTCCCTTACTATTTGAAATCGTGTTCGGAGTTGTGAGATTTGAATAGCTAGAATCAGCTTTATAATTCGCAGTAGATAAATCAAACCAAATCAATCTGATTAGAGTGTTAGGATTATTTTCTCTTTTGTGATTGAATACACGTACAAGATAATCCGGCTGACCTTCCTCGAGACAAGACCCGGTGTTCGAATCTTTCGATTCCACTCCGGTAAAAATAACTCAACAAAATGGCGCCGTTGCCAGGGAAGGTTTAGGACATATTTTGTGCGCTTATTCATCTTATTTTTCGTGTTTCTCTTTGGTTTTGTGTTTTCCTTATTTTTTGTGTTACTTTTTCTTGTTTTATTTTCTTTTCTTTACTATTGGTGCTCGTAACTTGTTTGTTGCCTGAGTGTATGCGTACCAGGAGTGGACGTAAACTATCTCCAATTAACAAACCCTTCAACGAGAGCCTGAGAGAGCTGCTGGACGAGCTTACTCTCGAGCCACACGAAGAAGGCGAGCATTCACCAGAATCATCTGAGGGGAGTAACTCAGACATGGCTACACAACAACCACCACGCAACATCCTCAGAGACTTGGCCCAACCCATAATCGGGCCAATCACTTCATGCATCCGGTTGCCACAAGAAGCCCGAAACTATGAGCTGAAGATGATCCACTACAACCAGTTACCATCTTTCCATGGTCTTCCAAATGAGGATCCACTCCACTTCCTCCGGGTGTAATAGCCCAGTTCTGTATTAATAAAATGACAGTTTTTAGTTCCCAGTTGAACTATTTCTTTTTATTAATACTGCTCGTCTTGAGTTCCGAGCCCAGTTATCAGCTATTCAATCTCAGTTATTAATTCCGGTTCATTTATTTTATTAATGGATTTTATTCAGTCGGAATTAGTTATTCCAGTTGACGAATAATCGAAACTGAGTTTGTTTCGATAAATCGTCCAAGTTTAGCCGTGTTCGGAACGGAGTTGTTCGGTCGCGAGTATTGCGCCTAGTTCGCGCCTAGCCAATTCTCGAGCCCTAGTTGTCTCGAGTCTTGTTCGAGCCCTAGCCATGCTCATAGCCTTACTTAGAATATTTTCTAAGTATGAGATCCTTTTTATCGAGCCTTCGATATCATTCCCTCGACCTAAGTAACCCGCACCGAGTTCGTGCACGGGTCCGAGTACTCGCGCCAAATTGTCTTGTGCCTCACCAAGCCGCGAGTGCCCAAGTCATGGTTAGTAGTGTGGGATATTTTTTTAAGTGTTTTGGTTTCATAGACGAGCCACGAGTTCATCTCTAGCCAAGGGTTATCCTCGACTAAACATTTTCCAAGCTCAGGCCATGAGTCGTGCCCTAGTGCCGCACCCTAGCCTCGCGCGAGTCAAGCATGGTGCCCAAGTCATGGCCAAACACTTATGGTATTTTTCTAAGTGTTGTGAGCCTCAATTCAGCCCATAAAATCAGCCCAAGGTCATTTTTCCCGAGCAGGCCAGTTTTCCCGCGCAGCCAGGCCGCGCCCTCGCGCCAGGCCCAGTGCCGCGCCATGCCCAGCAGCCCGCGCCCAGGGCCAGCGCCCAGGCCCAGCGCTGGCAGCGCGACAGCCC